GGGTATGAAATTGTGTCTCCACCATGTGATAAAACTGTTGAAACTTGGAACTGACTTCCCCTTTAGTTTTGAGAAGGGAAACCCAGGTCATGCGTGTGCAATCATCAATGAACGTGACAAACCATCTAGCTCCCCCGGGAGTGGTAATTTTAGAAGGGCCCCAAACATCAGAATGAACAAAGGAAAAAGCAATTAAACTTTTATTGGAACTTAAGGGAAAGGGAACACGATGGCTCTTGGCCAATTCACAAATGTCACACTTAAAACTAGAACTCTCTAAATCTGAAAATAATGAAGGAAATAGCTTCTGTAAATATCCAAACGAAGCATGTCCAAGACGGCGATGCCATAACCATACTTCGGAAGTTTTCTTCTCAACACTCGTCCCCCCAATTTTGTAAGCTTGACTGAGGCTGGCTTCACTGTCAGATGCCAGGTCCAAATAATAGAGTTTGCCCCTCCTAGTACCACAACCAATCGTCTTGCTGCTGAGAATGTCCTGAAAAACACAATGAGTAGGCCAAAAGGTTACAGTGCAATTCAAAGCCGTAGTAATTTGGGCAACAGACAAGAGATTATGATGTAAGGATGGAACAATCAACACAGAATCCAAAGTGAGGGAGTCAGAGAGAGAGAGGGAACCCTCCCCAATCACCGGGGAGGGGGTACCATTGGCATTAGACACCACCGATTGAGAAGGCGGTGTATGAGAAATAATTTGTCCCGGATCAAAGGTCATGTGATCAGTGGCTCCGGTGTCAATGACCCATGTGTGTTTCTTTGAGGAACTATGCAAAACATAACCTTGGGTACCTGATGTGGCTACAGAGGCAGAGGCAGGAGCCGGTGCAGGTGGAGCAGCAGGACTTACAGGATCCGTGACGGAAGATGTGTGAAGGGAGGTGCTCTTATTCCTGCGAGGAGCTTTGGAGTGGTCCCACCAATCCGGGTACCCAATTAGTTCATAACAGCGAGCACGATTATGTTTGCTCCCACCACAATGAGTGCATTTGGTTTCCGGACGAGAGCTTGTGGTCTGAGTCTGAGAAGCGCCACCGGTAGAGGGTGGAGGGCCCCTCGGACGTTGAGTGGCTAGAACCGCAGTGTCTGGAGTACTGGCCATGGTCAGTCGTTGTTGAGCTTCGCGACGTACATATGCAAAAGTTTGGTCAAGGTCCAATTTGGGGTCTTTGCACAGGATCTCCCCCCGGACTTGATCAAACTGAAGATCGAGCCCGGCAAGGAAAAGGTGAACACGAAGACGATTCAGTTCAGTCTGGCGCTCAGTGATGTCGGCGTCACAGTGCATGCGATTCGGGGTGCGATGATCAATCTCCTGAAAGATGGTCTGCAGTTGGCTGTAGTATTTGTGGACGGGAGCACCATTCTGTTTAATGGTGAACGCCCGTTTGTTGAGATCAAACAGAAAAGTTTCATCCCCCCCCATCAAAGTAGGTTTTCTTCAAGGCATCCCAGATTTCTTTGGCGGTACTAAAACGGATGAACCGACCCATCAAGTCTGGAGACATGGAGTCGATGAGCCACCCTTTGACCCGAAAGTTCGCCGTACACCATTGGTTGTAAGTGGAGGAGGACTTAGGGGGCTGCGGAGTGTCGCCGGTGAGGTACCCCAATTTTTCGCGACTAGCAATACGTAACTCCATGACCTGAGACCATAAGGCATAATTGGTCTCTGTTAAGGTGATGCCGGTAGGAAACGGAGTGTTGTCACTCTGAATAGTAACAATTTGGGGGGATGAGGAAGTGGATTCGGTGGTTTGGGAAACGATATCCATGGCAGCGGAAGGAAAATGGGTAGGGCTTCGGGGTAGTGTTTAGGGTTTCGGGATACAGGATTCAGGATTCAGAGTGTGTTTAGGGTTTCGGGGTGTGTTTAGGGTTTCGGGATTCAGGATTCAGAGTTTCAGGATTCAGGGTTTCGGGATTCAGGATTCAGGATTTAGGGATTCAGGATACGAGGATACGGGTTCGTGGTTCAAGGAATTCGATACGAGGGATTCGGGTTTTGAGAAATTCAATACGAGGATTTAGAGACAACCTATGATCGATTGCTCTGATACCATGCTAAAATATGAATACAGGTTTTCAATATGTTCAGATACTTTATTCTTCTCCATAATGAGGTATATATATGGGTTTACAGAGTGCTTTACAAGGAATAAGATACAATCAGGGATTAGGAAAGTATCTCCTAATTATACACAGATTTGTCAACTAAAATGGAATGGGAAAGTAAATCCCTTAATTAATCAAGGAAATAATTCTCCTTGATTAATTAGGAGACTCACGTCAACAATTTCCATATTGTTTTCCTTCTCTGATGAGTCTTCTTTGTAATTTGCAAGAATTGAAGATAAAAGAAACTTAAGAGGTACAAATTTTTTAGTGGATTGGGAGACCAGGTAATTGGTCGGGTTACTATGTCGAGAGTGAAGGTGCCCATGGATTGTCTAACTTGTTGGATAAATGTTTCCTAAGTCCTTAGAAATCATTTTACAAAGGGTTTAAATTTATTTTTAAAAAATTGAAGATAAAATAAATAGGAAAATAAAACAGGGGGTGGAAACAGCAGCACTCTTTACATATCCAATTCTAACGAGTATACGTACTCTCTTGTCAAACCAAAAAAAAAATACGTACTCTCTTGTTGTCTTGTTGCCTAGAGGAAATCAAAATAGGTTACAAAAAATAGTAACTTTCATATTTCTCTAATTGCCGAGTTGTTTCGTTTTGTGGAAGGACACAGAGTCAAAAACACATTATGAACTACGATTATTCCAACGGTTCCTTACTCGCTTTCCCCAAAACCGGCTTAAAATGGATTTTCAACAAACCCAATTATCTTGAAGTTTTTTTGCGTCAAGTTCTAGATTTGTTTCAAATTTTAAATACGTGGGCATTTGTGCGAAGATTCTAGGAATTGATTCACTGGCTAGATTCGACTTTGCGCCTTCCAAACTGCGAATGTCAACTCATGAGCCTTAGTATTTGTTATAGGGAAATTGGCGGCTATGTCCCATGCTCCAATAATTTATTCAAGTTTGCCCTCTTTTTGAAACACATTCAAAAATACCCTCTATAAAAAGTCTCTATTAGCTGAAAATGTACCGTTGCTCGCTAAAAACCCCATTCCCATTCCCTTCTTCTTTTTCTTCTTCTTCTCTTCTCTGGTGTCGCTCTCTTGCTCTCTCTTTGGCTAAAATTTTCTCTTCTCTACTGTTGCTCGTTTTCTTCTTCTTCTTCTTCTTCTTCTTCTTCTTCACTTCAATCATCTTAACCTAAGGCTAAGATAGTACTTAATTGAAAATATTAAACTAAATAAACTAATTTTGTATGAAATAAAATAAAAAACAAAGTCCACAAAATAATTTAAAATAATTTATTACAATTTATTAAGTAATTTTTTAAATTAGTAAAATATTTACATACTATTTATACACTAAATAAATAATAATTAAAGTAATTGAAAAATGGTAATATATTACTTAATTACAAAAAAGAAAACCATTTTATGCCGTATAGCCGGGCGGCTATACTCTTTAAATATTAATATATTTCAACAGTATCGCCGCACGGCTATACTATTAAAATATTCGAACATATTAAACAAAATAAGCTACTGTTGTACAAAATAAAATAAAAAACAAAATCCACAAAATAATATAAAATAATTAATTACAATTTAGTAAGTGAGTTTTGAAATTAGTAAAATATTTCAATACTAATTATTCACTAAATAAATAATAATTAAAGTAATTTAAAAAGGGTAAGATATTACTTAATTACAAAAAAGAAAACTATTTTACGTAGTATAGCCGGGCGGCTATACTCTTGACATACATTCGAATATTTAAATAGTATACCACTTTAAAAATATTCGAATATATAGGGTTATTCGCTGCAATGGTCCCTCAACTATACCCATATTTACAGTTTGGTCACTCAATTCAATTATTAGTTGTAGAGGTCACTTAATTAGGTGTTTTGTTGCACCGTTAGTCCTACCGTCAAGTTTCTCTAAAGGTAGGGACTAATGGTGCAACACAACACCTAATTGAGTGATCAAAATGTAACTCCGAGTATAGTTGAGGGATCATTGCTACAAATAATCTTAACTGAAAAGTCACATTTGCCCATCAATAATCTAAGAGATGCTTGCCACGTCATCATTTTAAATAGAAAAAGTAACAAACTTGACGGTAGGACTTACGGTGCAACAAAACACATAATTGAGTGACCTTTGCAACTAATATTTGAGTTGAGTGACTAAAGTGTAACTTGAGGTATAGTTGAGGGACCATTGCTGCGAATAACCCGAATATATAATAAGTATAGCCGAGCGGCTATACCCTTTAAATATTAATTTATTTTAAAAGTATACTCCTTGTTTAGAATGGCGCCCGCATGATAATAACGTGCAGATGTCCAGATGAGAGAATAAATGTATATATATTCAGATTGTCTGATAATCTTCAATTAATACAGTGGAAGGATCAAAATCAAGCTGGCATACTAATCCCAGCTTCAATTGGCCAAGCATGGGGAGAAAGAATGCCCTCTTGTTGGCATCGGACTGGTTGTAGGCCAAGAAAAGTATATAGAGTAGAAACTAATGCATTATCTGGACAATGATGAATTAGTGAATGTATGTTTTAACACAAGCAATTTATTTGCAAATTAAATATATTAGAATTTTATAGCTCAGAACATGTGAAGGTATCTGACCGAAGAAAAAAGACCGGTACACGCACCACAAAATCAAAAGTAATCAAAGAACACAACAATTTATCTTTCGTACTTTCTACTTCTTTAACCCAACCAGGCAAGAGCTTTCATCATGCAAGTAATGGTGGGCTTGACATTAGAACATTGAGAGGTAAGGGGGCCTTTGTTTCCATTTCCATTGTAGGTGAGATCAATGTCACCGGGGGATAGTAAGCAAAACCTCTGGATTATAAGAAAAATAAAAAGAATATGGTCAAAAATAGATGAACTAACCACCACAATGGTGCAAATGGATTATTTAAGCTAAGTAGATGAATTAAAGTTGTTAAGATGAGGCACTTTCTAGTTGGATAATATTAGAAAAAGTATATATATAGATGGGCCAATAGTTTAGGCATGGTCTTTTCCTGTCTGGAGTATACATATATTGCGGGATGTTGAGGAGGACATCAATACTACATACAGCTTAGCACGTTCTAGATAGAGATTTGGTGATGAATATTCTCAAGGCTAAACAGCTTACTAATTATAGGATATAAAGCTGAACTAGAATGCAACTTCGTATAAAAATAGTTAGTGATTGGTTGGATAGTTTGATGGTGTTGAGCCTTCCCAATCGGACTATAAATTGGCCTCAACTCAAAATGGAGTGGCATCATCCTTCCAAAGAAAAAAAAAAGAGAACAAAATAACAAAGTGGAAGGACTCTCTAGTGAGATGGCGATATGGCTCCATAGAATGTAATAAGGTGGGTCACTGCCTTGCTAGTCATGCCTTGTTGTTAGATCAAGAATCTTTTGGTTAGAGGAAGAGCCTCCGTGACTTACGTCATTGTTATTGGATAATACTCCAAGTTTATCAAATTAATGAAATCTTTCATAATTTTAAATAAATAAATAAATAATAGGAGGGTGAAACTAGAAAACAATTTTTAGAGGGACCAAGAGTGTAAATAGCTTAGTTTGGGGGCCATTACATGTAAATCCTTTACAAATTCTTCCATGAAATGCTAGAAATGTCTTTAAATTTACGAAGAACTAAATGTGGGCTTGTTTATTGCTATTTTTTGGACGTTTGAATGAAATTCAAAGACTTTTGTCCCACATTGGTAGAAAGAAGAAAAGGCGGAGTCTTTATAAGTTTGGGAGTAATTGGAAGTTGGGCCAAGTAAAAGCCAATTGGGCTTCAAATTCGATTTGGGCATTAAATATTATATAGATAATACATAATATTTAATTATAAAAAAGATGGGCCTTGGGTTCTAGAAAAATTTAAGTAAGACACCCAAACGAAAATAACTAATTTAATTTTTTATTTTTGCACAACAAAATTAAATCAGTAACATATTTAAATATTCACTAAAGAAATAATAATTAATACATAATTACTAATTAAAGTAATTCAAAAAGGCTAAGATATTACGTAATTACATATATTAAATTTAAAAAGTTGGCCAAAAAACAAAAGTAAAGAATCTAATTTTATATTTTTAAAATTAAAAACAAAAACAAAAAACCTCTCCCGACGAAATTCCGTCAGCAGATGTAACTTTCATCGGGAGAGGTCTAATTCGACAAATATTTGCCACATAAACTTGTGCCGACGAAACTTCATCAAGAGAGGTCTTTTCTTAGCTTGCTATTTACAGGGTATAGCCGCACAACTATACTTTTAAATTATTCTATTTTTATACAGCCGTACGGCTGTTATATTTTTAGGGCTCGTTTGGTACACCGTATTAGACTCTGGATAGGAGTAAATAGTCTATGTCAGGTGTTTGATGTCAACTTGTATTATTTAATTACCCGACTATTTTATACGGGTTGGGCTTTTAATACTCTCCTTACCTGACTAACTAATACAACTCACACACCCCGGTTTAGATAATACACGCTTAATTATACGGCTAGGAAAAAAGAACACCCGTTCTACGGAAAAAATCAGACGCTCTTTTCATCTTCTTCTCTGCTATCTTCTCCATAGGTTATTTTCTTCACTCTTCTCCAGGTATCCATCTCTCACTCTATCTCTTTTTCATACTCTCTTCAATATGCTTCTTCTCTAATCTTTATATATTTCAATTTTTTATTACATTTTTGTGGAAATTAGGTTATGAATTTTTCTTTTTTGACATTTTTTTTAAATGAATGTTTTCTTTGTATGTGATATAGTGATTCGATCCCCTTAATTTGTACAATTTCATGATAGTTTTCGGAGTTGGGAAGTTGATGTTTCTCAATTTGCGGAGGCTTGTGGATATGCCGAAGGAGAAGACACATTTGCCTGCTGTGCTACAATCTCTGGGGTGTATAGCTCAGACTGCAATGCCAGTTTTTGAAACAAGAGAGAGAAATTGAAGAGTTTATAATAGAAAATATTCTAAAATGTGATAATGTATGCCTTTCAAACTCGCTGCAACTGCACTTTGTGATATATTTTTGATTTTATGACAAGATGACAATTTGTTTTCGTGCATATACTTTTTAGAAATCAGGTGATAGTAAAAATGCGTCGTGGGATGACAAAAGCGAGCTTTGTTTGCTAAAGGTTGGTCAATTTGGAGAGATGTTTGTTTTTGTTTACCATATGGAATCTGGGTTTATTTTATTTTATTTTTCAGTTTCGATTCTCCCCAAGGAATTAAAAGAATGTTTATGCAAATTTCCCGGGATTTAATTGTGTAATCTAGTGATACGGATGACAATTTTTTTTCGTGCATATACTTTTCAGAAATCAGGTGATAGTAAAAATGCGTCGTGGGATGACAAAAGCGAGCTTTGTTTGCTAAAGGTTGGTCAATTTGGAGAGATGTTTGTTTTTGTTTACCATATGGAATCTGGGTTTATTTTATTTTATTTTTCAGTTTCGATTCTCCCCAAGGAATTAAAAGAATGTTTATGCAAATTTCCCGGGATTTAATTGTGTAATCTAGTGATACTGTTTTGATGTATTACCTTTTCGCCAAATTCCT